ACATTGTGCACTGTCACGGTTCGACTCCCGCTGGGGGTGTTGATAAGACCTATGCGAGGTCGAAACTGCAATCCACTTGTGTCTGGATGAAAGCAAGGCTATGTTAAATTCGATGTAAACGTCAACTCTACTCATATAATTGTGGGAAAATTCTGCTACCAGTCCTTCATCACCTTAAACTAAATTGAGTGAATACATCTCATATTACTTATTTACTGCTAATCTCGAAACTCTACTTACACACGAAAAATTGGTTTCTTAACTTTTGAATAAGAGCCAATATAAATTTAATGGATATAAAAAATTAATACATATTACTGGATTTCCTCTTGATTATATAAATGCTATATTCAGACTCGAATCTAAAATTATAACGTAATTTTGCCACCTTATTTTACACTGTTACCTTTTTCTATTTCCATGTTTTATCCTTCTTGATAATAAAAGGTGTATTCTTAATTTTTATAGAGATTGATGACTTTTATTTAGCTGACATTAATTCGCATTGCCTTGTGTCTTGAAGGCATATTCCTTAAACATTGATTACCTACCTATTCAATAGTACTTAATTGCTCTCCATTATTTCTTTCCTTTCACAGCTCTGGGCACTTTTGCACTTTATCATGCCAACTCTGTTTGATTCGCACGATGAATTTTCTGCCTGGTTCTCTAAAGATATTGAGTCTCAGGCTAGTGCCACTGCTGGCGGAGGGGGCGGAGGTAGCCTCAATAGCAGCAGTAGTCTGGCCACTGCCAGACTGGATGAGAATCAGCTGTCGCGATTGCATCTTATCCTCAAACCTTTTATGCTGCGTCGCGTAAAGGCTGAAGTGGAGCACGAGATATCAGAGAAGGTTAGTAACTAACACATTTTTTAGTCTCTCAATTTACAAAGTCTGCTTACCTGTGTGTCTATTGGTCTATTTATTTCATGAACACTTTGAAACACTTTCTTGAATGGTAGTAATCGAGCAAAATTGAGGTTGAGCGGCTGACTGAGGATTTTCTCCATTCATTTCCAAAGTATTCAACAACTTTTACTAAATTTGATATCCTTTTCTTGATTTTAATAGAATAGGTGTTCCGCGCTTCCTAATGGTTATATCTTAGGAAATTAAGATACGTTGCATCACGTGTTGTCTGCCAACTGTGCCTAAATGAGCGTTCATTTTCGCTAATTTTATAGCATGCCCGCATTCCTCGCACTCGATCATTCTTTTCATTCCTCCATTAAAAGCATGACTGAAAGCTCAAATAATCCTTTTGGATAAATAAAATAGATGTATAGAATAAATAGGTGTCTTGAGGGAGCCCCATTTAATCGAG